TGTATCGTAAAGGTATCTTAAAGTATCATAAAGGGTACTCTCTCACAAATAGCTGGATGTGCAGAAACGGGGCAAAAAGCATGTGAAATGTTGCTTTGGTAAAAAGAGTAGTAGAGAAACAAGAGATCTGTCTTTCTGCTCTGCCATTCCTTGCACGTGACTTTCATAATCATTCACAAAATGCCTTTTGGCGCTACAGCCATTATGTCAGTATGTCTACCAGGAAGAGGAGAGAAGGCAAGGGACAAAAAACAGGCAATCCACCCTACTAACTCTTTTAAGACTCACTAAAACATATTTCTGTTTGCATCTCATTGGTTCATCCCAAGCTGTAAGAGAAGCTGGGAGATACAGTCTTTTTAGCTGGTCACATTGCTGGCCACAATAAAATAAGGGTTCTGTTACTAAGGAAGAGGAAAATGGATATTGGGTAGACAAAAAACATCTTCTAGCACATCTCACAACTTTGTCTGGTAAGTTTTGCCTTATCATGCTCCCTATTACCAAAGCTTTGGGAAGATAGGGTGCTTTCTGTGAATTGTCTGGTCTCTCCATCCCTGAGAACAGATTTCTCACTTCAAGGCAGGGAGCATTGATGATCCTTTGGGTTTGGGAGAGCTGGGATCAATTGGGCCCTGGCAGGAGACCCTGGCAGAGGGAGCGCTGGGGTATCAGCACAGGAAGCACAACTAGAAAGGCAGAGACACCAGAGCCAGGTGGAACCACCAAACTTCTGTCTCATTAGAGCAGTGGATGAGCTTTCATATCAGAATCATCCAGGGAGTCATACAAGGAAACACATCAGCACCAAATGAGGGCAAGAAGCAAGTGTAACACTTGACAAGCCAGCCTATGCCACCTTTCCCATTCTCTCCAACTCCCCCATCTCCTGTCCTCTTACTGTCCATATAGGCTTGTGCTTGTAATAGAAGCATTCATCTTGTTTTCTGGCTCATTCCCTAGATGCTTTAACTTGACCCCTGAAATCCTTTGACTCCTCCTTCCAAATTTCCTTGGATCACACTCCTCCTGCCTGGCTCACTTTACTTTTGTCTTACTCACTGCGATGCTGATGCCACTGCTTGAAGTCTGTGCTAAAAGATTCTGTGGGTCCTGAATTAACACTTTCTCTTTCCAGGTGTGGCGTTGTAGGATAAACACTCGACTGCAATATCAGTTTGAACCGCAGGGTCGGTGGTTCAAATCCACCAGCTACTCCTTGGAAACACAGGGTCTCTGTGAGTCGGAACCAACTCAACAGCACTTACAACAGCAACAACTTCCTATTCTTATCTCCCTCTCCTCCAACGTGTGGTGCAGTGACACAAAGATAATACTTTCCTGGGTCAGGAATTAACAATCATGTCTTATTGCCAGTGGTATTGTCCACCAAAATCATTGATGGCATGAATTCATTTATTTTACTTTAGCTTCCATAGAAGACTTAGTAGAAGAGGTAACTGCAAACCATCCAGAGGTTGTTGCCATGGTTGAGGAAGCTATACAAATGACAAAGAATATGAACTTTGAACATCCATATGAAAAGCATGCTGAAATTTTAGAGGAAGTCCTTAAAGAGGTAAGCAACCCAGATTGATAATTTTTACACTTAATCTTTACAATTAGCACTGGGCTGCACACCACAAGGTCAGTGGTTTGAACCCACCAGCCACTCCATGGGAGAAAGATGAGGCTTTCTGCTCCTACAAAGTTGTACACCCCTGGAAACTCTATATTGGGTCTCTATGAGTCAGAACCAATGTGACAACAACCACAATGACAGCATTTATTGTTTTATTGACTATGCAAAGACATTCTGTTGTGTGGGCCATAACAAAGCATGGATAACAAGAGAATGGGAGAAGAATGGGAATTCCAGAATACTTAATTGTGCTCACAAAGAACATGTACATAGACGCAGTCATTAGAACAGAACAAGGATATACTGAATGATTTAAAATTAGGAAAGGTGTATGTCAGGGTTGTATTCTTTCACCATATTTATTCAATCTATATGCTGAGCAAATAATTTAAGCTGGAGGAAAACACAGCATCAGGACTAGAGGAGGGCATCTTAACAATCTACAGTATGCGGATAACACAACCTTGCTTGCTAGAAGTGAAAAGGACTTGAAATAATTACTGATGAATATCAAAGACTAGCCTTCGGTATGTATTGCACCTCAATGTAAATAAAACAAAAATACTCATAACTGGACTCCTGGTGTGGCACTGTAGGATAAACACTCGACTGCCAACCAACTACAAGGTCAGCAGTTCAAACCCACCAGCCCCTCTTCGGAAACCTTATACAGAGTCGCTATGAGTCAGAACTGACTCAACAGTGCTTAACAACACCACAACAACACAATTAATTAGCTCATAGATGATGTATCTAATCTTGTCACTGGCTTCATATGCACCATCGTTGAACCAATGGAATTAAATCAAAGACATTAAAAACTAGTGCATTCATTTTAAAGCTATAAAGCTGGGTTATATAATTTTTTTGATAATAAAAAATTTACTGAAGAGCATCAGCAGTTGCTCACTGAGATACATTATACAAAATGCAAATTAAGTTGAAGGCTACAGATTTCAATATTGTTCACTGAGATGTTTTTAACTTAATTAAAATAATTATATAGAGAGAGAGAAAAAAAAAGAGAGAGAGAGAGTCCTGGTGTGGCTCTGTGGGTTAATGCATCAGCCTACAAATCCATTTGAACTGCAAGGTCGGTGGTTCAAACTCACCATCTGCTCCTCGGAAACCCTATACAGGGTTGCTA